AGAAACCTGCTTGGTATGCCTTAAGGCAATGAGGTCACGGAAACGGAGGCCAGGAGACAATCGTTTTTTCTGCCTTGCTTGCCCTTTTAGTCCTGGACTACGCATATGCCAGGAATCGAGGCGCCCACTGTGCTGTGGACTCGTGCCACACGGCTACCCCAGGTTGCAAAAACTGATCAAAAGCCCTTCTCAGCCCGTCGAAACTCGCCGCCCCGTTTTAAGGCAAGAGTTCGTGATCAAAGCCCTAAACCCTAAACCCCACTCCACAGTACAAATGGCTCTCACAACCCAGCAGAACAGCCAGAGTGAGAGTCTAATCTAGGGGCCTTAAGAATTAGAATCGGGTGTTGGGGCCCATTATACTATAGCTATACTAAGGCTACTAAGGAACCCCCAAAATAGTAGAAGTAATTGTTAAGGCCCCGATATTACACCATAAGAACCTTTGACCACTTCAATGCAGCCACTTCAACTCTTCAAGCCGCAGGGAGCCTTGTGCCACCCAAACCCCGCGTCGAACCAGTGGTGTACAGCACCTGGGCGTGGGGGGATGATGCCACCACCCCGAAGGATCCATGTACCCAAATAGTATATACTTTGGCCCCAAAGTACCAACATAGGGACTACTTTAAGGCCTAAGGCACATGGATCCTTAGGGCACTTCACACTGCGCGCACCGACGGGTCCGTTGCCAATCATCCTGCGAACTGACTCAAACCTTATAGTCTCCACGATAACACCATCAACATCATGATCATCACCATCACCAGCATCACCACTGGTTACCAATGCTCACACGGCGTTGTCTTCAGCGGCAGAGTCACTAGAACCCTGCGTTGACACTTTGGGGTTCTGTCAAGGGTTCAAGGCTTGGGCTCGCGCTGCAAGAGTAGATGTCCCAAACCGCGAAAACTGAAACCCTCAACCCCTGAAAACCTGAACACCTCGAGCCCGAAAGCCCTAAGCCAGAAACCTCAAATCCTCCCAGGAAGCTCTGGGAATCCAAACCAGGAAGGCACTTCGTCAGGGATGCTCCGACCCGGCTCCTGGTGGGACTGATCAAGAACAGGTGTTCTGGCTTTCTGTTTTTGAGAACTAGCCCGTTCTGTGCCAGAATGCCCGCCACGTAGTCCAAGAGAGAGAGAGAGAGAGAGAGAGAGAGAGAGAGAGCGAGAGCGTCTGTCGGGTTTAGCTTGCGAGGATTCTTTGAATGTGCTGGCCTGCTGTTTTGTTTCCGGGAGAGCCTTCTTCAAAGCTGGTAACCCCCGAAACGTTGAAACTCCGCGGAAGTTCTATCATACCTTGAATCCGAATAAAGCCGAATGCAGGTTCGGCTAGATTTTCCGCAGCAGCCAACATGATAACCAAGCAGGCGCGCCTCCCAGGAGATTGCCTGCAGAGTCACGCAGATAGATTCAAGCCGGGTCTAAGTTTACTGAGTATACTGTGACTGACCGTTGCCCAGTGTTATCAGACACCATGCGTGGCTTGCCTCTGTCGCTCTACCGCATTGCTAGGCAGCTGATCCTCCTTAATTGTGGCGGCGAGCGACACTGCGAGGAAAAAAGAAGAGCATCCTGACTGTGGATGTGCAGGCATGCAGTTCGTGTGCAGAGCATGCTGCTCAAAGGCATGGAGTCAGGGCATTCAGGTCCGGTTTGGTCCAGTTGCTAGGGCTCCAGACTTATTTCTCTCAGAATAGCTTAGAGTTGAACAGATTCTTTTCACAGATCAGGTAGCATCTGACAGTTCGTTTCGTGAGAGTTTGCGCTGCCGGGAAAAGGCAGTCGGGTCGGGCATTGAGTTCTTGCCTGCCCAACGGGCAGGTTATGAGCCCAAGTGGTTCGTAACACTGCGCCTCCGCCATGGAATCCACTGGGTCTGCTGATGAGCCGCAGTACCAGCAGGGGCATGTAAGACCTGATACCCTCTTGAATCCGAACAACCTGGAGGGCTCAGGCGGACCGGAATCCCTTGGAGAGAGGAGTTTTTTCCAGGAGGCTTCCAGAATCATCGATGATGGTGGTAACACTGGTGCTGGACAGAGGACGCCTGAGCAGCAAGCGCGTGATGTGCTGACCGGTGTTGAAGGGCTTGAGCCTGAGTATGAGTTCGAGTCTGTCGAGGGAGTAGCGTCTCCAGAAGGGGATGGTCGAGAGGAGCAGTCTCCCGGGGTCCAGACCGCTGGTCGGGATCAACGACAATTTCAGAATCCTGAAATGGGTCTACAGCCTGGTGTGAATTCTGGAGAGGTCTTGATCAATGGTGTGGTGCCTGATGTGGGTCATGCTTCAGGGGGACAAGGCCGTGAACCTGAAAGGGGCGGAGTTCTTCCGTTGCAAGCTTTGTTTCAAGGCCAGCTGGGACAGCAGTCTGATTCGCAAGGGAGAGTGGAACTCCTGGAACGGCTGGTACACCAACTTATGGATCAGAATGAGCTGCTGAGGCGTGAGATCGGAGATGTGGCTTCGAGGAGCTCAGCTGAGTCGGGCCAGAGCGGTAGAGAGGTTCCTAAGGGAGCTACTGCTATCGGGAAAGCGGGTAGCCGAGTAGAAGATGTAGTTCCTGGTCGCGAGAGTAGTGCAGGCGTAGCAAGGAACACTGAGCCAACCTGGAATCCCAGTTTGGCCCAGGTAGCTGAGGGAAGAGGGTTTGGAGCTCTTGGTCGTAAGGCTAAGCTTGGGAAAGGTATAGGTAATCAGGGTGGTATAGACCTGAATGCCGGCCGCTCCAGAGTCTTCAGTCCGCCGTGGACGTCCTTCCAGCAATCCCGAGATGAAGCTATGCCAGCCGCAATGCCAAGTGCCGGGCCAGGGGATAACGTTCTTCGAGCTTCCGTTCAACAGTCCCGAGATGATGTTATGCCTACTGCAATGCCAAGCGTTGGGCCAGGGGATAAGTTTCTTCAGGCAACCCGTGCCATCCAGAATCTATCCTTGGAAGAAGGTCCAGGTGAGTTGTCTGCTGTGCACCCTTCCTGGTTTCAGGTTGATCTAGATCTTCAGGGGTCGAGGCCTATGGAGGTTGAGGATAGTGTTGGGGTCCAGCCTGCTACGCAGTCAGCTGTGCAGCGGACTCACTCGCGCCAGCAAGATAGGCAAATGTATCCTAGTCCCGAAGGAACTGATCAGGATCCAAGGGTCCAGCCTGTGATGCAGTCAGCTGTGCAGCGGACCCAATCGCGCCAGCGGCAGGATGGAAATGTAGATGGGAGTGGGTTAGCAGGTAGGAAGGTACAGGTTTGGATAAACGGAGTGTTGAGGGAAGGGGTTTATGATCATCAGGGTCAGGTGATCTTGACTCCAGAAGCACCTAAGTACTATGCTCTTGAGAGTAGTGACGTGGTTGCCCCTCCTCCTGTAGAGCCTGAAGGTACATTTGTGCCACCTGCGCTTTCGCCTCCGTGCAATGTAGGGAGGCCGCGAAAACCTCAGGGCCCGTGGAGCCCACAAGCAGCGTCTCCATTTCGTACTGCCGATGGTAGTCCTCCACCACCGCCACCACATCCCCCTGTTCCTGTAGATAGGCCGAGTAGGACCGTAAGGAATGCGGAGAGGTCTCCGACTGGTGTAAGGCAGGGATACTCAAGGAAGTTTAGTCGGTCACCTCAGCCAAGTCCTTCCAGGATTGTGCCTCAGTCAGGGTCTCATCCTAATGCGTCACCGGCCACGCCGGGGGGAACGCGACTGCCGCCAGGGCCGCCTCCCAGGACACCTGTAGTGGGCGAAACTCAGGCTGCTCAGGGCAGTGGTCAGGGTGATGGGCTTTTGGAATTTAGTTCAGGGCTGAAAGACTTTGTACCGGGGGATCGTACGTATTGGGAGTTGCCGGTTTTAGCTGCGCCAAGTTCTGAGGTGAACCCAGCCATGCGATGCAACGACTGGATATATAAGATCGGTCCTCTCATGAGCGATCTAGCGCCGAGGGCAAACATTTGGTGGGCGAGGGTTTTGAAGGAATCCCAGGATGCCTATCTGCAGTGGTCGAGTGCCAAACCGTTGGATCGTGCCAAGATTGTCGGGAAGCCAAGTAGCACTCTTCAGGGAGACATGTTCACCAGGATTGAGTCGAGGGGGGTTGCTATGCTCTCTAAAGCCCTCCCTAATGTTGTATATGAACAAGCCCTTTCCAGTCGCAACGTCTCGTGTGTAGGACTGTTGTTTCTCACGCTTAGAATCTATCAACCAGGTGGTCTAAACGAGAGGGCTGAGTTGCTGCGTGGCCTGACATCACTGCAGGTGTTCGATACTGCTGTGTCGGCAGTTGGAGGGCTTCAGAAATGGTTCAGGCATCTGGAGCGTGCTAATACCATGTCGATCTCAGTTCCGGATAGCTCTTTGCTACTGCAAGGCGTGGACAAGAGCGTGCATACCTTGTTGCAGTCTCATCCTGCACTGTCCTTCCGAATGCACAGTGTTCGTATGCAGCTGCAGTTGGATACAGTTCCGACTCATGAGCGCGTGGAAGAGTACGTAACTACTCTCCTAGCTGAGTTTGAGCTGTTAGCCGTTGCAATGCCGGATACATCAGCGAAGCGTCCTCGTGTAGCAGCAGTGGATAAAGGAAAGGGTGGAAACAAGTCGTCTGAAAAGGGTTCCGAGGCCCAGGGAACTCCCGAGAAGCCGAAGCCCGAAGCCAAATCCAAGCTTCCATGTCGAGGGTGGGTCACAGATGCCGGGTGTAAGTATGGGAAAACATGTAACTTCTCTCATTCGGCAGATCGCCCAGGGAAATGCTGGACATGCGGAGGGTCACATGCGAAGGCTGAGTGTACAGCTCCGGGAGGGGGTAATGCCCAGAAACCTGCTGCAACAGAGACTCCAAAAGGGAAGGGAAAACCGTCAGGGGGTGAGCCGAAGGGTGGGAAGCCCAACCAGGGTGCACCTAAGGGACCAAAGGGTTCGGGAGGAGCACAGAAGGGAGCTAGTGGGCTTTCTGAAGATGCAATAAAAGAGGCAGCCCAGCTGCTTCAAAGCTTGAGGCTTGCGGCGATCAGGCCATACATTCGTTCTGCGACGGAAGTGCTCTGTAAAGCTCAACAAGGCGAGCCGCGTGGTCTGATAGATGGCGGTGCCACTGCATGTTTAAGGACAGCTCTGAGTCATGAAATGGAGATGCCAAGTGTTGTAGTCCGACTAGCATGTGGCGAATGCTCGCTGTTGGTAAATCCCCAAGGGACGCTTTTGAGCAAGACGTTTGTGAGTCCGATCCTTTCTGTTCGGGCGTTGCTAGCTCTTGGCTACAAGGTGGAGTGGGATTCTTCTCGTTGTAGAATTTGGCATCCTTCGCGGGGTGTATTGGATACGGATGTTAGCACTGGTTGCCCGGAAATCTCTGAGCAGAAGGCCTTGGAACTTATCGGGGAATATGAGGCTTTGGTGCAGCGCGGGGAGAGTCGTTGTGCACGACTGCACTGTTTGATGAAGGATTTAGCTGGATTGAGTAATGCTGAGCTTGCTGATGTGATTGTTCGTCGGGATGTGCACTCAGACGCAGCTGTAAAGAAGCTGGTTGAGAAAGTGTTTGGGGATACGCCTAGTGATTTGAGGGAGCAGGCGGTTGCATCTGTGCAAGATCCAGCTGGTGAGTCTTTCACATGGAACAGAAGGATGCGGAGGAAGTTTGAGCGTGCGAAAGGCCTAGTTGTTCATCTGTTCTGTGGTGAGGGCAGAAAGGCTTTTGATCGAGTGTCCGAGAAACACGGGCTAATCCATGTGCCGGTTGACACAGCCGAAGACCTGTTGGCGGAAGGTACCTATCAGTATTTGCTCAGGCAGGCTGCTAAAGGAAGAGTTCGTGCAGTGATCGGAGCCCCTCCTGGCAGGACATTTGCGCCGTGTCGGTACTCAGTAGGTGAGCAAGGCTCAGGTGTGAAGCCTCTTCGAGTAAGGGGGGAGAGTCTTGGTGAATACGGTGTTGGGGAGTTGACATGTCAAGAGCTGGCACAACGCAGGATAGATGATGTGTTGATGATGAGGATGATGGTGCTGATGCTGGTGGCGCAGGGTTCGAATGAGGCTCTGAAGGAGCCGACCCCACACTGCCTGGTGGAACATCCTGAGGACCCTGAGGATGGGGGTATGGTAGGTGTTGCCCTGAGGGAGCAGACGAAACCTGAGCTTGGGTACGCGTCGTTCTGGGCCACACCAGAGTGGCAAGCGATATCAAAGGAGTTGCAGCTGTCACCTACCTCCTTTCATCAAGGACCGTTGGGGCACCAGAAGGTAAGGCCAACCACCATTTATACAAACATGTATCCGGATCCTTTGCTTGTGGACTGTTGGGATGATGGGTTCCAGTCTCGTCCGAAGGTCGGGGGTAAGGGGTTGTCTTGGTCTCAGTGGAGCCCAGGGCTTTGGATTGCTGTGACTAACATGTTGGCGAGAGCACTTGCGGAGCAGGTGCCGAAGGGACTCAGAGCGATGGATTCTGGTTTCATAGAGCACCTTCGCAATAATCACACGCCATTTCGCAGAGATTGCAAGCAGTGCATTCGCGGCGGGGCCAGACACAAGCAGCATAGGAAAGTCCTTGCCCCACAGGGTTGGTGCATGAGTATAGATACGGCCGGACCATTTCCAAAGGGGCTAGATGAGAATACCACCGCTGCCAAATACCTGATTGTTGCAGTTCTGTCAGTTCCTATTCTGTCGGTAAAAGGGGAAAGTGTGGATGAACCGGCGGATAGGGACCCACAGCTTGATCTTCAAGAGTTTGCGGAATCTCTAGATGATCGTGAATGGTTTGTAGAAAGGGGTATGGAACTGGAGGAACCACTCCCTGAGCCTACACATCGTGAAATTACTGAGTCGAAGGACTCCTGGGCTACATGGGAGGCAGTAGTTCGGAAAAGTAGAAAGGATTGGTTAGAAGAAGCCAAAACTCAGTTTCTTCCGAAAGTGGAGATGATAGACTTCGTATACACTGAAGCTGTGGATTCGAAGAAGCAACAAGTCGTTGCAGGTGCCATTAGCCGTATGTACGCACGAGCAATATCAGACGGGTTGAGCGTCCAACGTATCCATACGGACAGGGGAAAGGAGTACCGGAACTCCGCATTGGATGCCTTCTGTCAAAAGCTCGGAGTTCATCATACATATGCAATGGCAGAGGAACACCAGACCAATGGTCGCGCGGAGGGGGCTATATTGAAGATCAAAAATCGAACGAGGGCGATCCTCGAAGGATCAGGGCAAGATGATCTTTCAGAGTGGCCATTGGCGGCGAAATTGGCGTCGTATCACTTGCGATCTGAAGCTCGCAAGAAGTTGCGGATGCCGTGTGAGCCGACAGTACCTTTCAATACGGAAGTTGAAGTTTTGCAGAGGTCGTGGCGGCGTGGAGTTTGGAGTTCGAGAACTACCACGGCTGTCACAAAATGTCCCTCTTCGGAAACTTCGAGGGGGTGGGTGGTGAAAACGGCCGAGGGCCAGCTGTTCACCACCAGCAGGCTTTTCCCTTCCATGGATGGCAACAGGATACGATTTAAATACGAAGGTACCCCATTGGATTTGGATGCACCGTCAGTTAGGATCCGAGAGAAGGGCAGGGTTCGCAAGCTTGGCTCTTCAGTGGATGGTGTTGTGTCTAAGAATCCAGCAGAGCGTTTGGCAAGGTCCTTGTATGAAGCAGGCAGTTGGGAGCCAAAGGACGTGGCGTCCCTTGCAGTTGCCATGTCGAAGCACGTGACTTCCAATAGTAGGGCTGTGGTCAAGGATGAGTTTGAGGCAAGGAAACTTGAGTGCAATTTCATGAGTGGTGCTTTTACGTTCAGCGGGATGACTGGGGTTCGTAGTGATACGTCTGATTTCCCATGGATTACTCGGTATCTGTGTGGCTATCTGGCCAAGCATTCTGATGAGCCGTTTGCGGGAGTGGGTTTGGCATTGAACACTGATCATGTGCTACACCGAGATTTGCACAATCAAAGGGAGGTTGCTAACATTGTCCTGCCCATTGTTACTTCCGGGGGAGGCTTGTGGATTCAGAGTCGCACAGGACTTGATCCAGTGGCTCCGACATCAGGAGTTACGGAGTCTAGGATGCTGGAAAATGGGACTGAGGTTCAGGGTCGCACTTATGTGTATGAGTCACACAAGCCGGTTGTGTTCCATCCTCATGTATGGCATGAGTCCAAGAAGGGTGATGGGCCTCAGCTCCTACTGTTTGGGTTCACAGCTCGCCATCTGCACAAACTAAAAGAGCCTGAGAGGAAGCGACTATGGGAAACGGGATTCACGTATTTGCCGGGAACCAAATCAGAGTACTGGGGCTTCAAGACGTCTTCAAACACTTTGGTTCGGTATCATCCTGTCCCTCGTCGTCAGATGTTTGTCCCGTCGGATCAAGATTGGCTTCCGTTTCCGCGGTCGTGCTTCGGAGACTTGAGATTGTGCCTGCAACAGTTTCAGGGCCAAGAACCGGTTCGCTCATTCCAGTGCTGGCGCAAGGGCCGAGGCCGGGCGCCGGCCAGTAAATGGACGGGGTGGTCTGCTTTCCCTTTGCATCTCAGTGACCCAGACAACGGTCGGTCTGGGGGGGGGGATCCTCCTGAGGCAAATTTCGATGCAAATTTCGATGCAAATTCTGAGGTTAAGATTGGGGCAAAAGCAAGCTTCAAGCGAGGTGAACCTGGGGATGGGAACCAAGGCTGTGGCACTAAAGACTCAGTGCTAGGGTCTGGCAAGGTCTCAGGGGTGATGTCTGAAAGGAACTTAGCCGCTTCAACGCCAGGGGTGGTAGAGGTTCCACATGAGGGTGAAAGGTTGTCGATGGTTTGGTGTCCGGCATGTGATGCAGTCGGGTGGGCAGCGGACTCAATCGCGCCACCACAAGCTACAGGCTGTATGCAGGCTGCCAATGGGGAGCAGCCGCAGGGATACAAAACGGATCAGGCAACAAGTAGCTGTATAGGTTCCCCTGAGTTAGTGCCGCAACCGGCCAGACAGCGAGGAAGGAGTCCACAAGGTGTATGTGAAACTGGGACTGTGAAATCTGGTGCAGGTACAACAGGTAGAAGCCGTGCTAGAGGGAACCATGAGTCATCAGGTCTGCGGAGGGGCATTTCGCCAGCTCCGCTTTGTAGCTGGGGGGTTAGATTTGCTTCGAGATTTCGGTTGAAGAGCGTGCGGAAGGTGTTGAACGAGAGTTGTGGCTCAGGGTTGATTGGTGACACGGGCGAGGCTTCAGGAGGGAATTGCTCTCGGGGGGGAAGTTGTACGGGATCGCCTGTAATGCAGTCAGCTGTGCAGCGGACTCAATCGCGCCAGCAAGATAGGCAAACTTGCATTGGCGAAAATCTTCTTGTGAAAGGTCTTGAGATTCTTCCACCTCCGCGACCCAAGGCTACTGTTAGCGAAGAGTTTCCTGAGTGGTGTCCAGCTGGTGTGTACATAGCTTGCCTTGTTGCGGAACTTCGGGCGCTTTACATGAAGCTTCAAGGTGATGAGGCGGATACCTGCTCAGGTGAGGCTCAAAAGGGCCATGGGGAAGTGGATGCTTCGGTTTCTGGTGAAGCTGTAGGGTGCTCAGACTTTGAGTGGGATGATGACTCTCAGGATGTCAAGATGTACCAGGTGCCAGATTGCATCAAACCACTGCGTCCATGTCATTCGTCGGATGTTGGGGATAGCTGCTACACACTGGAGCGAGTGGATTGGCCTATGTGTGTCAACGTAGCTGATGAGATGCAGGAGTTGGCTGAGGTGCATAGGGCCATGTGCAGCTTGTTGGATGGGCAGTCTGAGGAAGTAGATGGCCAGTGTTGCAGTTGTGAGGCTCAGTGGCTTGACGAAGTTCAGGGTTTGGAGCAAGAGCTTCAGAGGATGAAGGGATTAGAAGATAGTCTGCTGTTGTCCTCCGAGGGTCCAATTCTTAAAAGTATTGAACTGTGTGTGGACAATGAGGTGGAGGCTGAGGCCTGCCAGTTAGACAGGAAGAGCGAGGAGTGCATGCTGGGATCCGGGAGTCTAAAGGCTGTTCAAATGGACGATGATGATCCACCACCTCTTCAGTCGAAGATTGTAGCGCAGGACCAGGTTCGACGTGAGCTTGGTAAGTGGCGTGGATCTATGGGGGAGGAAGTAGAGTCGTTAGTTCAGAAGACTGAAGCAGTTGAAGACTTGACAGACGACCAGTATCACAAGCTGGTGGCGGATCCAGGCGTGCATGTGGAACTGATTCCAGGAAAAATGGTGTATGTTTGGAAATCCACTGGACGTCGTAGGGCGAGAATGGTGGGATGTGGCAACTTCTGTGACAACGATGGCAGCACTCAGAAGGCAGATCTTTTTGCGAGTGGGGCTGGTGCGGAGTCCATTCGAATGATGATCCGCAAGTGTACTCTGGAACCATCTTGGCATCTGGTCTCGGTTGATGTGAAAACAGCTTTTCTCCAGGCGCCGCTTATGGAAATGCAGAAGGATGGTAAGGAGAAGGTCACAGTCGTTAAAGTTCCGAGCATATTAAGGGAAGCGGGTGTTACTGCTACCAAGTACTGGAAAGTCAAGAAAGCTCTTTATGGTCTGAACTCGGCGCCGCGCTCGTGGAGCCTTCATAGAGACCGGGTGATGACGGATCTTCGGATTGAGTATGGTGATGGCATCTTGAGGCTTCGAAAGCTAAAGGAGGACGCCAATCTCTGGCAGATTCTCAAGTATCCACGGGAGGGCAGAGATCCTGAGAAAGAAGCCGGTGAAGCAGGAGGACAGTGCCTCGGGATTATAGCCTTGTACGTGGACGATATCTTAGTTGCGTCGGAAAAGGACGTTGCCCAAGCTGTAGTTCGCGGACTGGAATCAAATTGGGAATTGTCAACCCCGGACTGGGTGTCGGAGGAAGGAGATTGCTTGAAGTTTGCAGGCTTCGAGCTGGAAAAAACCAGTCAAGGGATTCGTCTTCATCAGGAGAGCTACACCAAGGATATCCTAGAACAGTACCAAGACACAATCCCGGGTGTGGAACGTACACCAGCTGTCAAGACTGTTGAAAGTGAGGAACCGGTGGATCGTTCGGAACAGCTGGAGTGGACGAAACGTGCACAATCATTGATTGGACAGTTGCTCTGGCTTGCGGGGAGGACCCGTCCTGACATTGCTTATGCTGTGAATCTTGCTGCTCAGAGGATAGTGCCATCTCCGGGTGAGGCGGTTGCTCGCGCAGAACACTTGATCAGGTACCTTAGGCATGCTCCAGGAGTCGGTCTTCATTATGTGCCACCAACAGGACAGTGTGGAAGGTGGGACCAGCTTAAGTTTCAGGAGACGAGGACAAGTCTAGAAGCATACTCGGATGCCTCTTTCGCTGCGGATGAGAAAAGCCGTAGTTACGGCTGTATTCAGCTGTGTTGGGGAGGAGCGCTGATATTCTGGGCCTCGTGCAGGCAGACTCTCATAGCGTCCCATACTGCTGAAAGCGAATTGTACTCGTTGGCAGAAGCGCACTTGTTGGGGAAGGCCATGAGACCAACGGTCGCAGCTCTGATGAACGCTCAAGAGGACCAGGTGGATTGCAGGTTATACTGTGATAATTCTGCGGCAATTCAATTGTGTGTTCTGGAATCAGGGTCGTGGCGTACACGCCATTTGCGATTGCGCGGTGCGGTGGTTCGACAGGACTTAGAAAACGACTCCTGGAAGTTAGCGCATCTAGATGGGGCTTACATGCCAGCGGACCTGGGGACAAAAGCAGTAGGACCCGCGAGACTGGAAGACTTGATTAGGGTGTGTGGGTTATGGGCTCCTCATCTTGAACTGTCGAATGATCCGCCTAGGCCTCAAGTAGCTGCAATGCAAGGAACTCCTAGTGATGTGTCGAAGGCGCTGTTAGCACTGTTGGTGCTGCTGCAAATCTCGGCTGTCAAAGCGGAATCAGTCTACGCAGGGATGGATGATCTAGTGACCTTGTGGCAAAGCTTCATTGTTGGGTTCGGGATAGGCTGTGGGTGGATGCTTGCGTCCAGATTGGGTAGGTTGCTCGATCGATGTTGTCGCAGGCGCCCAGTAGTCATGGAGTTCCGAGGGCCCCCAGTAGGGACCAGTGGTGTTGAAGGATGGACTCAAACTGAAGGGTCAGAGGTTCAGAGCCGCTTGGAAGCGGGGGAGCGTGGGACCCAGGCTGCACAGCACGTCGGATTGGGGGTTCCTTCAGGGTTGATTGAGAGGGATGTGGGAGAATCTACATGTTACGAGGACTTCTGCGAGAGGGCTTTTCCGGAACTTCAGGGTTTGTCTAGAGGGTCGGGTGACATTGTGGGTTCAAGTGAAGCGTTGGAGGTGCTGCCAGGACCAGTAGACAGAAGTGGATCACCGGAGGTGAGGTTTCCTAGCGGACAAGGACAGTATGACGCAGCGAGTGCATATGCTACGGCTTCAGATATGGAACCACTGTATGTGCAGAGGCCTGTAGGGTTTCCGCCTGGTGACATGATAGAGTTGGCTCGTGCTCCCACGGTTCCGTTGCCTCCTAACTATCCTTACCCTGAGAACTTTGGCAATCGTTTTGTGTATGCCGACGATGAAGTTGAGCTAGGTGAAGATTCGGATAGCGGTGACGAAGCCAGTTCAATAGGTCAGTGGACTACAGATTCAGGCATGCCTAGGGGTCGCGGCTCAAGTTCTGCAGGATCGCAGGGCACCGGCAGGAGCCTGACGGCAGTGAGCCTTGCTGCTTCGGTCCAGTCGGCTCAAGCTTGGCAGGACGCTGCTCAGGAATCTGATGGGACTATGGAACTTTGGCTGTTGCTGGGTATGATTTCTGTAGGCTGCATTTTGGTTGGGGCTGTAGGCGCTATTGGGTGCATGTGGTTGTGCAAGTGCAATACCCACAGGCATCAGATTTCAGCTGAATGTACTCCCACTACTCCTACAACTCAAGGGCAGAAGGTTGCTGAGAAGAGCAGTTATTCTGACCGGCATGTTTCGGAAGGGCCTCTTCAATTTTCGCCAGTTGTGAATGTGACTGTTCGGACACAGTTTCAGGGAGAAGATTGTGCTCAGCATGAGAGGGTTGAGGTTTTGAAAAGAAGCTCCGAAGATGATATCAAGGAGGGCTTGCGTCAGAGGGGACAGCAGAAAACATGTGAATCCACTGTAGGCCCCCCTAAAGGTTTAGAGCCTCATAGGACCCGTGTTGAAGTCTCCGCGATGGAGTCTGCGCAATCCCGTGTAGGCCCCCCTAAAGGTTTAGGGCCCCATAGGACCTGTGCGGAAGCCTCTGCGGAGAGGCCTGTGCAATTCCCTGTAGGCCCCCCTAAGGGTTTAGATCTCAGTAGGACCCGTGCTGAAGCATCGGAAGTTGAGCCGGTGCAAGCCCCGGTAGGCCCCCCTACGGGTTTAGGATCCCATAGGACCTTTGTGAAGGCACCCGAAGTGGAGCCAGGAGTTTCCCAAGTAGGACCTTGTGGTTTAGGACTCCCGAGTATCCCTACAGGGTCTAGTGATAAAGTTGAAAGGCCCAGCGGGTCAAGTGGCGACGCTCAGTTCGATGTTCAGGTCAGTGGGTCTGGTAGAGATCTAGATCAAGAGCGTCCAATTGTGCGAGCAGATGGGTTTGTTGAGTATCCCACACGCGCGGGGTCTCGAATTATGATCGATAGGATTATCCGACCTCGCGGGTTCAAGAAGATGGACATTCATAGTTGCAGTGCAGATGAGCCGGGGGTCAATGTGATCTTCACGAAGAACGGAGATTGCTTTCACAGGTCTCTGGAGTGTCCGGCAGCTAGCAAGTCTTCGGACATTCGCAGGCGTCAGACTTGTTTTGTATGCAACAGAGGGGAGGGATTTCCAAAGCAAGATACGATCTACTTTAATCGCTGGGGAAAAAGGGTTCATGTGAGCCGTGACTGCCCTGCTTTGGACCCTCACCAAGAGGTTTGTGCTCGCCGCAGGTGTAAGTTCTGTGGAAGCCAGTGAGGCTTTGAAAACATGGACAGCAGTGCGCGAAGCACCCCATGCTTCAGGGCATTTTGTCCTGCACAACAGCATGGAACGAAGCAAATGTTCGTTGGGGGAGTGACTGTGGATGTGCAGGCATGCAGTTCGTGTGCAGAGCATGCTGCTCAAAGGCATGGAGTCAGGGCATTCAGGTCCGGTTTGGTCCAGTTGCTAGGGCTCCAGACTTATTTCTCTCAGAATAGCTTAGAGTTGAACAGATTCTTTTCACAGATCAGGTAGCATCTGACAGTTCGTTTCGTGAGAGTTTGCGCTGCCGGGAAAAGGCAGTCGGGTCGGGCATTGAGTTCTTGCCTGCCCAACGGGCACATCCAATGCGGCTGCTGCAAAAGAGATCACAGCCATATGTGCCGAAACGACAGTGGGGAGTTGCATGATCTACGATCCCAAAGCTCCTGCACACCAAAGCTCTAAACCACACTTTCAATCCCGGCTCGTTCAAGCGCGAATACAGGGGCCTCAATCATTACCAATACTATTTGGGGGGTTCCTACCCCCAAAACCCTATTATTAATTAAGGCCCCTATACTAAAACCCTATAATGGTCCTTATAGTAGCCCGTCTAGGCCCCTGTAAAGGAACCCTATTCTAGCTATTATAAGGCCCCTATCTTCTAGAACCCTATTATAAATCCCTTATAGCCTCCTTTAAAAGGAACCGTGTTCTAATTATTAAGGCCCCTATACTATCCCTAAACCCTAAACCCCTAAACCCTAAACCCTATCTTCCCCCACCTGGCGCTTCTCCATGGTCTGCAGCTCCCTCAGAAGCTCGGGCCCTTGGCTCCCGAGCGACTGACACCAGGCCTCAGCTCTCCCTTAATGGGGGTTTCCTTTAGGGGTTCCTTTAAGCGTCCCTTTAAGGGATCTATAGGGTTTTAGGGTTTACGGTAGATCCCTTAATGGGGGTTCCTATAAAGTACCCTTCGTAGTATAGGGCCCCAAATTCGGAGATCTACTTTCCAGATCCTCCCGGGGGTTTGGGTCCTTTGGTTGGTAGGGAATGTTAGAATGCTAGTAGTAGTAGTAGTAGTAGTAGTAGTAGTAGTAGTAGTAGTAGTAGTAGTAGTAGTTATATTTGTACCCCATTCCTTCATTCCCGACTAACCAAAGGTAAGGGCTGCGATGATGCGGCTTGTGCTGCGCGTGAGGAAAAGGAAGATGGTGTGGCCATGTGAAATCACAGAATCACAAGCAAACTCTTCGACTCTTTAGGATCTGTATAGGATGGTGAGAAGTGTAATTCGGTGGTGCTAAAGGTGATCCATGTTGACCACGCAAGAGTGATGCAGAATCATCCAGGGTAAGATGTCAAAGGCTTTGGGCGATGCAGGGTCCGGGAAACCGGTTCGGCCATTTGGGTCTCGACTTTCTTGGCTTTGAGCTGCTTCGGTACAGCATGCGACGTGTATGTGGGTATGTTATCAGCTCTTTGTCAAGGTATTCTGCACTTATCTTTGCTTCGGCCCGCATGGGTATACCATGCTATGTGCATGTACTACCTATTCGGACATCTACCTTTTAGAGTGTGTAGCGCATGCTTCTCCACAGCGGACGTATTGAAGGCCGAGCCACGAGTCGATTGTTGATGTCATGCAGCGGCTGCTCCTTTCAAGACAGACGGTGCGTTTTGGCGCAGACCGCAGGGTCAACAAAACATGGGTTCAGTGTTTAAATGTGTTTAAAGTGGGGTCTCGGGGTTGATCCTCAGCTTGCATGGCCTGTGCCATGATGGCTACAAGTGACGGCTGCAGTGCAGCGAATCGCTGCTTACGGCATCAGATGGGAATTTGATGTTCGAAAGCTCCGGAAGATCCAGCAGGTTTTTTTCACGGTATATGGGATGGAGCCTGGAAGTGTGTAACGCAAGCATGTGCCACTCTGCCCAAGCATGAAGAAGAGGGAATGCAAAGTGCTGCGATGCGTCAAGCGAAAACACACAAGCCCACGCGCCCTTGGAACACCTAAAGCCTCCAGACACTGGCCATCAAAGTTCCTGCCTTTGCACCCGAAAACGACTCCTCCCTCACCCTGCACCCTCGCCCGGAAACTGCACGGAGTTTAAGGGGGACCTTGTACCCCGTACCGAAATCCAGATCTCAAAGTTTTAGTGAACCTGAATCCCAAACACATGCAGACATAACTATCATCGAAGCGGAACGGCAGTGAACCATGAAACCTCAACCGGTTCAGGGTTTCGGGTTGAGGGTTAATGGACAACCATTCCAACCCCCTGCTGTCCATGGAGAGGCCGTCGAGACGCGCGGCCAGACATCGCTGACCCTGGAGAAGCAGCAGCCAATCGCTCCGCACGAAGAGATCAAGCTTTCAGTATACAATATAGGGGCCGTAAAAATTAGAATAGGGTTTTGGGCTGAAGCGGACTGAACGTCAGGGCGAGCAAAGAAAAGCAGAGTGACTGGTGCACCCTCTTGAGTAGAGACCTCAGAGCGATTTAA